TGAACCTCTGCTGCCATTGCTGTCTATTTCGGTGGGAGCTGGACCAACTTATGTGTAATTGCAGTCTGCTCTATAGCCACATGGAACTGGCCTCATGTATCTGATTTACTGCATTGGTGTTTGGATCCTCTTATGAACTGCCATATGGACATCTCCCTTTATGTCTCTTGGCTTTCATAGATGAGTTGCTCAGTTCATATTTGAAAAAGAAATTAATGCTATTATACCTCCTCATAAACTTTCAAGTCACTAATGGAAATATTTAAAATCCTGTGAAAAACTTTAATTCATTAACTCCATAAATAATCTCTTAGAATACATTCCCAAGCAAGCATGAATACCTCATTGAGTTTGCAAATCACCAAGTTTCAAAGAAAAGTACAATTAAAGTTTTTTAATTTTTAATCAAATAAGGCTCATCACCTTATTTGTTGTCATTTCATGTATGCGTTGATGTAATAGCATATTCTTTTATGTTCTGTCTGAAAGGAGGTTGCCATTTATATGCAAACATCCTGTTACGAATTGAACATTTGTATTTTTATTCTACTATAAAAAATTGACAAAATGTAAATTTTAATAGAACACTCTTTTTGCTCATGAAGTCAACTGGTAGCTCTGTGTCCCAATTCAGCAGTCATCTACGTTGTATTACTCTCAAATGTGTCAAAGATTTTAAATATAAATTAGAAGAAAAATGGAAAAAAGCGTCAGATAAAATATCAACTTTCCTCTAGGGTGAGTTGTTTGTTTTCATGTTCTGTTAGAATGAATCCTTTTGATGGTTTAGCTAAATTATGGGCTTTGGAGTTAGAAAAGTCTGGAATTAAGTGCTTAGTCTGCCACTTTCTAGCTATGTGGCTTTAGGCACGTAACCTCTATAATTTTCATTATCCTCAGTTTTACAGTAGCTACAAAAGTGACAACTTCATAGGGCTGATGCAAACATTAAAGCTACTTAATACATTACTGCTGTGTCTGACTCTGAGGCACAGCTCCTCACAGGGAAGACATTTACATGCTGATGTAGAACACGCTTGCCACTTATTTCTTTATTTGGAAGTTACCCTTGATGAATCCTTCTCCTAAAATCTGTTCTTTCTCTAAAAGTTTTGAGATAAGATAGGGAGGGAAAAAGAGTCATAAGAATGGTCAAGGACCCAAAGCACAAGTGACCCTGACACTTATCTTAGGAATGCAGATCCCAGGGTCTCACCTGCAGATTTAACTTGTTAAGATACAGGAACTCCTTATCTGCATTTCTTACCAGCCCATCAGGCAAACCTGATATACACTAATGTTCAGAATCCATGATCTAAGGAAATACATACATGGCATCAAAGCCTTTTCTTTTTAAAAGGGAGATTTAAACCCATGCATTCCTTTATGAGTTGTTATATCTTGGGAAAATACTCTTTGTGGCAAATTGAGGAATGTCTCAACTCTTGAAATTGATAGTATGCATTAATTAGTTTTTTCACTTATCAAGTAACATAGCTGATTCAAGGTCTCATTCACAAATATTCTGAAAAAAATCCCTTTAACAAAGCAGAGTTTTGGTTATCTTGTGTGCCAAAAAAAATTCACCAAACAATGCCAGATAATAAACTATTATTGTTCATTTGCATATCTAATTAATAGTAATTGTGGATATTTTTCCAGTGACCTTGATATTAAATTTATTTGCCCAGAGTGCTACTAAATGATGTTTCTACCTGCCCTGTCACTCTGCACACTTTCTGTGTCTACAACTTGCTTTCTTTTTACCGATTATTATAAAGCTGACACTCATTTAAAAAAATCCACGTCTGAAATGTGCTGAGTAAAAGTCCATATTCCCTCTCTCACAATTTTCCATGCCCTTTGCAAGAATACTACAGAAACATTTAAAGTTGCCAAGATATTTTTATTACTGCATATCTTATATTTCTTCTCTATGTTTCCACATTCACATAACTCATAAATTGATCAGGTAAGTTATGAAAGGTCCCCATTTCACTTGCCTGTCACGACTGACACTATACATCTTTCCTCCCAGTCCCATAAGATGCTGAGGTCATTGTTATGATATCTATCTAAAACCATGTTTTTACATTAATTCTGGAAAATGTGAGATATTTTAGAGGATATATCTAATTCATCATCTAGCTGTTCACTGCAAGAAATCTCAATTAGGAATTATATTAGTCTGCCAGTGGTACCCAGGAAGACAGAATTAGAAGTATGAGAAGTTCTGATTAGAATTGAATGTCTGCCAACCTTGGATGTGCATCAGCCTGGTTTGGGTGTGTGTAAAGACAGACAAACTGATAAGTAGGAAGATATACACACTTTCTCTCTTTCTCCCCAAAGCTCAGAATCTAAGAACTGTGCATTTTCACTGATATTTCAAGTTTGGGAAGCATCGCCTAAATGAAATGACTGCCCTGTATCAGCCATCATAGAGGACGTTTGAATGAAGGCATGTCAGATTTTCAGGCAAATGTGTATGGGTTTTGACAGAAATGGAGACTATATGGTGTTGTAGAGGTAGAGTGGGGTGGGGGCTAGGGTAGTATGATGCGGAACATAGTTAATCTTTCTTACACAAGCCTTCTGTATAAAATTTCAACCAGTGGAATTGGATGGAACTGTAGATTTGGATATCAAAATCCACAGAGCTGTGGAACTGGGTGCTGTTCTCTTTTACGTTCATTAGCCAAGATGTGCGCAGTCTTGCGGCAGTCTTGATAGCGCCCCCTGTTAGGAATGACAGGGCACGTTTGCACATGTGCACTTGGGAAGCTCTCAGAGGTCCTGGAATTCAGAGGCCTGCTGAATTTTTTTGTGTTTTGTTTTTAGCTGAGTGTTCCATACACATCCAGCATGTATTTTACTGAGAAATTCCTTGAACCAAGTCATATTCTCGATACTATGGTTGGAAGGCAGTTTTGCTTTAGTGGAGCTTGTCTTCCGGTAGGATAAAATAAACAAATAATTAAAAAAATGAAAGGAAAAAAAAATCACTCCCCCCCCCCAATAATGAGTGACATGAAGAAGATAAAACCCAAGATGAGCAAGATGAGATAAGGAGTGGCAAGTGCACTGCTCTACAAAGAGCCAGCCTAGGGCAGTTATATTGTGGCCAAGTCCTGAAAGACAGGAGGAGCTGGTGGTGCAAAGGTCTTCGGAGAGGAAACTTCAGAGGAGGATGGCCAGCTAGTGCAAAGGCCCTCAGCAGACTGGACTTGGCTCCGTGAGTGAGGATGTCCAGTAAGGTCGGAGCACCATGGGAGATGTTGCCGCCCACTGAGTTTGTCTGATAAGGAGGTTGGATTTTGCATTAATTGGTAAAGAAAGATGTGGCGTAAGGTGGTTGAATTTACTTTTGACACTCTTACCACTTCTCTGAGGGGAAAAGATGAGGGATGTGGCTGAGGATGATAATAGGGAACAGAAAGAGACAACAGACAGGAAGAGTTCACTGAGTAGTGCTGGCCAAGTATGCTTTATTGAGCAATGGCCATAGCTGAAGTAGAGAGAGCCCCAGATTTTGGATATAATGTGAAGTTATCATCAGAGAACTGCTGGTGAGTGTGAGCCTGAATATTGAGTGCATGGGATATTAGGAGCAGGAAGACAACTAATCAAATTAATTTGACTATGAAACACCCAATCTTTTTTTTTTTTTTAAAGTCTTTGACAGCAGAGTGGCGCAGCGGAAACATGCTGGGCCCATAACCCAGAGGTCGATGGATCGAAAAAAGTTTTTGAAGAGATTTTGGTGAATGCTAGTAAAGGGATATTTGTCAATAGAAAGACAGGGAGAAGAACAGACTCTTTGGTGTTAGTGTTTCTGTAATGTATTTGCCTTTACTTGGTGTAATCTACATTATTTGTTGATCCAGTCCTGATGAGGGGACTTATCATGAGCCTGAATAGATGATAGCATCACCCTCCCCCATTTTGTTCCTGCATATGTTGTTACAGTTGAAAACGAAGAGGAGGAGGAAGGGAGGAAGGAGAAGGAAGAAGATGATGGAGAAGATAGAGGAGGAAGAAAGGGAGAAGAAGAAGGAAAGGGGGAGAAGAGGAAATAAAGTATAAATTGTATAACTGGAGAACAACTTCTGCTTCATTCTCACTTTTTTCACATGTAAAACCTTAGCTTGTGTCATTTAGGAGAAAATAAGAACTGCTTAGCTGTTAGTTGGGACTCTTATGTGTGGGTTTTGCAGGTGAGCTCTGTTTGGTAACATACACTTGTTATTGTCTTACTGTATAAAAGTTTTGCAAAAGCCAGAAGTTTTCCCCCCACCTTTCTGATCTTTAATTCCATGTTTTCTCTGGACCTGATTATTCCCAAGGTCTTTGTCACTTTTAAACTCTAGAGTGAGACTGTAAATCTAATTACAGGTCTTTCCAACTTACCACTGTTTCAAATTTCCCTGAACAATTTTTAATGTGTGTATCCCCCAGTTCCATGACGTTAACAGCCTGGTTCAGAGGGTAGCTCTAATTCAAATGTTGCGTGATACTTTCATTGGGGTTAATGAGTACAGCGAGGAAGCAAAACAGCAGAAGTGTCATGACTTTTTCAGTCATCAGCTCTCTGAGCAAGTTTGCTGAATCACATCTGGAATGTTGGGAAATTTCTCAATTTTTTTTATGCTATTCACAGTGTTAGCTTTTAAGTTTGATCTGCAGTTTATAGAAACAAATTTTAGGAAGGGTATTATAGTTGAGAGCTGGTTTGATGGGGTTGATGGCCTTTAAACTCTTAACGTACATAAAAGGCTCTTCATATAAAGAATATGTATTCTGTTACTATAAAGGCTTAGGCAATAGAAACTTCCAAGAACGGAGAGATGTTACAACATAATGGTTAATATGGTTTTCTTAGAGAAGGTTCTGTTTTTATAGTAAAAATGCCAATGAGTCATTGCACATCAACATTACAGGAGACAGGTGATATGGTTGTTCTCCAGATATATTGATTCCTTCTTTCCCTTTTCTTCCAGGGTTTTTCTGGGAATGCAAATGCAGACAGTGTTGTGTACTGTAGACTCCAGCCTTCCATCAAAGCCAGGTTTCTGCGCTTCATCCCGGTAGAGTGGAACCCCAAGGGTAGAATTGGAATGCGGATCGAGGCATTTGGATGTGCTTATAGTAAGTGATTATTTACCCGACACTCTGAAATCGGTATCCAAGGAAATATTTTAAAAGTCAAATTGCACACTGAAATGAACATTACAGCTATGTAAAGATAAGCAAAAATGGGAGTGACTTTTTGTGGAAAGGCTTTGTGTCCACCCATACCTGCCAGAATTGACTTTCAGTGTTCAACTTTTATATTTTGAGTCAGAAATGGAAGATTTTACAGATAGGTCGGTAGAGCAATAGGTACAGACAGATGCTTATAAACACAGGTGAGTGCATTTATACAGAGTGAATGTCATTGTTGAGATCCTGACTCTCAAATTAGAGCCTTCCCTTTGTGGACCTACTTGCTGATGTTTCATTTAGATCCCCAGAATTTAAGAGAAGAGACAGTGTGCCATTTGGCATAATCCGTCATCTCTCTTGAGACCAAAGACTATTTTTTCTCTGTGGCCTAAAATAATATGCCATGTAACTAACTTATAAATATGTTATGCCCTCAGCATAAATTAATAGAAAAAGTAAGGAGCTCTGCCAGCATATAAAGTACGTTTGAAACACTTTCACATAAAAAAGATAGAAACCACAGATTTCACTTAGCCCCTGCTTAATGAAATGTTTTATGATGCCTTTTTGTGGGGAAGGGACCTAAGAGTTATTGATAGCACACCTCAAACCACACTGTCCTGTTCGATGCTCTTTTATTATAAAACAATGAGTTTGTTAATATGATGTACAATTATCAGATGAGCAGTCTGAGGTTTGAAGAGGTTAGTAATTTGCTTAGTGCCACCCAGCTAGTCCACAGAAGACTCGAGAAATGAAAAGAATCCTGGGCCATTCAGATGCTCTACAACATTATTCCTTAGTAGACCTTTATTTTTTTTTTTTTTTTAGCTATGAAAGCTCTTTTGATACATTTTTACCACTTTGTGATATAGGTGAGAACTAATTTTAGGTTAGGTTTAGGTTCACTTCAATTACATAAAAAAGGTGTGTCAGGGCCCTCCCTGGTGGTGCAGCGAGTTAAAGCACAGCACTAAGAAACTAAAGCCACTTCAGCATGAGTTGGATCCCCGGCCCCGGAGGTGACTACATGGCACAGCAGACCGCTCCTGATCTGCCTGCTGCTCCCCTCAGCAGTGTACTTTGTTGATTTGCCTTCTCTGCCCTCCCTTCGGTCTCTGGTGATGCTTTTCACCATCCCTGCACCTCTGGCCTGTACCCCAGTTCTGTATGCACAAGTAAATAAAAATCTTTTTTTTTAAAAAAAGCGTGTCACGAGGAAGGCAGGCGAGATGCTGACCCTGTGCACTCTGGGTCAGACGAAGTGTGTGGCACATACAGCACAGGTCCTGGTGACTAGGGTTCCTGCTTACAATGCTCCCTCCATCAGTGGCATAAGTGACAAACCTTCTTTTACTGCTCGGGCCTAAGAAGCAATAGTGCTCATGTTGATAGTATTCGTTTTTTTAGTTCTAGAAATGGTTATTTTTTCTCAATTGCTTGTTCATTTATGTCTGGCACTATGGCAAGCAGTCTGTTTAAAATTCCCAAAACAGGTTCAGATAAATAGTACTACAGGAAATGATTCCATTCCCCAGTTTACAAACGAGAAAGCTGAAGCCTAGAGAGGGGAAGGTATTGACTGACAAGCTGGTTTGTGCCACATCTGCCCGGCTACAGACCCACCTTACACTCACACTACTCCCAGGTAGCTGACTTCTCACCCTCTGTCAACCTTACTGCTGAGCCATGGCAAGCTCTTTCTGTTCTAGTGGCCCCTCCTTCCACACAGTCACACTCAACTAGACTCATCCTTTAAAAGGAATATCCCACCCACATTTGATGTGGGACTGTCAGCCGTACCTGTGGGTGAATCATAGAGTCTAGCAAAGCTATGTTATGTGATGAATCCTAGCAAAGCATACTCCAAAATGCTTCATATTTATAGGTACAGTCTCGACTTCTTCAGAGCATCCACCTTGCAAAATATTTATCAGGTCGTAATAATAGCTAACAGGCATTGAGCATTAACTCTGTGTCAGATGCAGTTTTATGAACATTCACATTGAATTCTTAAAATCACTCATCTAATGGGGTATTGGAGATAGTAGGCAGTTTGCCCCATGGCACATGCCTAATACACATTCATTCTAGGGTATAAATTCAACACTTACTGACTAAGACGGTGATGCTATTTTGCTGAAACTCAAGCCCCACACATGGTGTCCCTAGGGAAGGGATGGCTGGGACCAGCTCCTCAAGTTCTCTGCTGTCCTTGTTTGAGGACAACTCAAATCCCTCCTCCCCGTATTTGTTGATCTGCTGCCTTGTGAAATATTCTTTTCACGGTGACTTCCTTTGCTCTCTCTTGGGGTGAGCACACTATTGTATGTGTAGCCTTCTTTTTTCCATCCAGCAGTTGAAGACACAGTACTGTGGACCAACAAAATTTTAAACTCAAGCATAATACATCTGGCAAGTGATAAAATAGACATCAGTGTAAAATGTGTAATTTTGGATAAAAGAGAAAAGATAAACCTACTGGAAAAATGCTGTCATAGATTACCTAAAAATAACAATAAGATGAGTTGGATATGAGTACATTGGGGAGATGTGTTTGATCAAATCAACTTTTAATTTCTCAATTACGCCCTAGTCACACTCACATTCTCCCCCTGTCCGTGGCCTCAGCCACATTGAATATTACTTTGCTAAAACATCATCTGTGGAACAGCTCATAATGTCAGAAACAGTAGTCTTATTGGTATTTTCTGATTAGTCCTAACAACACAGTGGGGTAGGTGCTCGAATGTTAGCACTTTATTCAGGAGTGAGACGAGACAATGAATGAATCCTGGGCTTGCTCCAGGTTGTCTAGCACAGAGATACCTGAAGCCGCACCTTCCCTGCCCTCAGACAGGAGAGCTACAGGCACCTCCCACACAAGAATCCAGCAGCAAAATTTTGTCGGCAACTCCCTGAGTGGCCCAGGCCCAAGATCACGCTGGATTTTCTCCAGGTAGAGAAGGTCATTCTCCCACAGTTCCTGTAGAAAGGAAAGTGGCATTGGGGAATGGACGGACTAGCTCCCTGAATCACAGTCCTGGGACGTTGGCCATCCAGTCAGCAAGGGCACTTTCTGTGAGCTTGAGGGGGCAGGAGCTCTGCACAGCCCCAAGAGCCAGTGTGTCTGTACCAGGTTAACATGATGTGGGTGGGCGTTGCCTGAGCGACCCATACAAGTGTGGTGTAGGCCAGGGTATGTCAAGTCTCCTGACCTGGAGCACTGGGAGCACAGTGAAAATTAGGACTTTCCAGGATTACCCAGTTGTTGTTAAAGCTAAGATTTTTTTTTAAAAATTTATTTATGCATACAGAACTGGGGGTGCAGGCCAGAGGTGCAGGTGTGGTGAGAGGATTCACCAGAGACAGAGTAGGGAGCAGAATAGGCTAACTGATGAAGCACACTGCTGAGGGGAGCAGCGGGTGGGTCAGGAGAGGTCTGCCACGCCATGTGGGTCACCTCCGGGGCGGGGATCGAACCTCATGCTGAAGTGGCTTTAGCTTCTTAGTGCTGCGCTTTAACCTGCTGCACCACTAGGGAGGGCCCTGTTAAAGCTAAGATTTAAAATCCTGTTCATCACTTTCTAGACTCAGTGCTCTGGATGGCTGCATGAATCATACATGTAGTCTCCATTTAAGTATTTATTGATGCTTGCTAAAAGAGAACCTATGAGAAATTTGGCCCTGAGAAAAATTCTAAAGTAATATACTTTCATAATAATAATGGGAAGGTGCAAAATCATAAAAATGGCACAAACAGTGCAGAATATTGTGCATGAAGAGGGGTGTGAGGAATAAAGTGATGGATAATTTGATATTAGTCTTAAGAAATTTTATAGCAATGGCTTTTGAAACTAAGGTGCATATATTTTCAGAGCAGGATAGTTCAAATAAGGGAAGAGCTGTGCCCGATCAAGCAGAGGAATTGGGATTATCTGGAAGGTCAGTCCAGCCTTGATAAGGCTGACTCACATTGAAATGAGGGTTTCAGGCTGGAGGAAGCAGCTCACTCAGGAGGCTCTGACCTGGTTTGTGCAAGTGGCAATGAAACCTCCAACCCGAGCAGAGGATTCTTTCGACTTGAATCAGATTTAAAATGCACAGACAATAATTGAGGCAACAGAGTTTAGTGTTCCAGGAAGAGACCCTGAGGTATTGGAGTCGAACACTGTTTGGAAGGTGGCGTTGTTTACTGTGACACTCCAGAAGGGAATAGGAGAGATAATTAATTCCATTGTTGACTCACTGAATTCAGGTACCTGTAAAACATGGAAGGTTGGAAGTCGGAACCCTCTGGTTGAAGACGTAGAATTGAAACCTGTGTAAATATCATTATGGTGAAGAAATCATAACATTACTATTGATTGCATTTCTGTTATGGTAAAGCATATTTCTATGGTATAAAAGATATGTCTCTGGAAAGCAGAAATGCATTTTAGCATCATTAAAGCAGGTCTTTTATACCGTGTTTTAGGTAGTGTGCATGTCCAGTGTCATCCCGCCTCACCCAGGGCCCAGTGTATGTGTTGACTGAGGATACAGATGCAGGTAGTCATGTGAATATTTCAGGGAAAGTGGCCATTGTGAGAACCACATACCGTTTTATTGCCCTCTCTCCTAGAAAGTTAGAGCAATAACTTGTTATGAAGGAGCATCAAGTGAATGGAAAATCCATATCAAAGAGCATGCTCTACTTTTATGTTGGTCCACTTGAAGTTGTTTCTTGAGTAATGAGTGAAGTAGAAACTAAATCTCACAGGTTCAAAGGAAAAGTATCAATTTCAGATTTCTTGGCCATAGCCCTTTTGAACATGTTTATAGATCTGGACATCCAGAGAGGAGGTATATAGAAGGATGTAACTTGTGAAAGAAAGAAAAGGGGAAGAAACTGTTTGGTGATATGGAAATATTTACTACTCTACTGAATGTCCCAAAGAAAC